TAATATTGGCTGTTGGTTTTGCATAAATGCCTTTTATTATGTTGAGGAATGTCCCTTCTACTCCTATTTTGCTGAGAGTTTTGATGAGAAATGGGTGTTGGATTTTATCAAATGCCTTTTCTGCATCAACTGATAAGATTTTTCCGCATATCTTTTATACTTTGTCCAAATTGTCCTACTTTTTGTAAATCATTCTAATGTCAGCCTGTGAAGAGTTGGGACCACTGCAAAACATCTCATAACATGGATGAGCTTTGAGGCCATTATGCTGAATGAAATTAGTCAATCACAGAAAGACGAATGTATGAGACCATTATTACAAAAAGTCAAGAAAATGGTTTCACAAAAAAAAGAAATATTCTTTGATGGTTACCAAAGGTAGGTGAGGAAGGGAGGGTAAACCACTAACTAAAAGAAAAGAACATTTCTGTTTCTTGTCCATGAGAAAATTATTTGCTACTGGAGGAGATGGTATTTAAGAATAAACAAATAAATAGCAAACAAGGACTAAAGTGGAAAATTATAGAGGAGGGAGGGAAATGACATATTTTGAGGGAATGGTTGACAAAGGCCCTTCAGAGAAGATGATCTTAAGGCACCTCTCCAGCCACTGCATCACCTAAAGAAAGAGCATTTCGGGTGGAGGGAGCAGCAGGAATAACACTTGCAAAGGCAAGAGCACAAGAAAAGGCGTTGGTTGAGTAGGAAGAGAGGAGACCTTGTGCGGGAGGTGTGGAGGGTGGGGAACAGTTCACTGTCAGGCTGAGATTTAGAAGCCAGGTCATGCATATCCTGGTGCACCAAGAAAGAAGCTTATCCTGTGAACAATGAGTAGACAGGAAGGGACCAGAAACTGTTTTGAAAACTCATCCTGCTTGGGATGTGGTAAATGAAAAAGAAGATAAAAGTCCTAGTGGGGAGGCAAGGGAGTGGCTGACTTCACTAATATACGTGCTGAAGATGGCTGAGGCAATCAGGAGAGGTCAGCTACCTTGATGTGTGGTTTGGAGGTACAGCCTGTGGCAATGATCAGATAGGTATAGGGAGCTAAGGAAAAAAGGAAATGGGTGCGCAAAGATAATTTCCAACTGTGCTTGAGCACATGGTACGATTATATACATGGGACTGTGGCCGAAGGAAATATGTTTTAGACATACTATATATGGGTGCCCGTTAGTCACCAAGTTGAAATATCAGAGACACAAATTGGAATATCAAGTGGAAGGAAAAAAAGACTTGAAAATATTTTATTGCATTTTTTTAATAACATGAAATTTTCTTCTCCATTTAATTACAAAACCAATACAGAATGCAAAATCTTTGGCAGTCAATGAAAAGCAAAACTAAAATCATCTGTAATTCTATCACTACTGATTTACCTTTTTTTTTTTAATGCACTGTAATTCTTAAATATTATGAGGTACTCGTACTTCTAGTTAGATATGATAGATTGAACCTGTGCTTACCTTTGCTTCTTCTCGAAACTATACCAAAAAGTCAGGAAAGAGATTTAAGAATATGTGTGTATGTGTGTGTGTGTTTGTGTATGAATGAGACAGTGCAAAATGAGGCAACAGGAAGAAAATTTTTTGGAAGCTGGAAAGTGTATGGCAAATTATAACAGACTTAGTAGAAATCTGAGCCCAGGCAGAGTGCAGTCCAGAACCCAGTGCTTCGGAACACAAGAAAGGCTGGCAAACTGGAGGTGCCAGGTATGAAGGTAGGAGGGTATGTGGGTTTAGAACAGTTTTAGTCAAAAGTCTGAATAGGATGTATTTTTGTATCTAAATTATCTTCCCCACTCTCTACACAAAGCCTGGCTAGTGGTTGATTCTCTTTCTGATCAGAGACTAAATAAAAAACACTAAGCAACAAAATAGTTTAGGGGGTGGGGACAAATAAGTGAAAGTTTATCCTGAGTAGTTAGGCTCCTAGACTTCTACTCACCAAAAAACCAAAGTCACTTTTGTCAAGTCAGATCCAACTCGTAGTGACCGCTCCTCGGGTTTCCAAGATGGTATTGCTACAGAAGTAGATTGCCCAGTCTTCCTTCCAAGGAATGGCTGGTGGGTTTGAACCACCAGCCTTCTGGTTAGCAGTTAGATGCTTTAAGCACTACGCCACCAGAGCTCCCAGACTTTGACAACTAGGTTTAAGTATGCTAGGCAGAAGACTGGAGGTTTGTTTTTGGAGAAAGTGATCAGTCCATGAAAAAAATAGCTCTAGATGCTGACATTTGTGAACCTTCCCAAAGAAATAGTGCAGTCCTGTCACCCATGCACATAGGAGATCACAATCAAGCATCTTATTGCCTCATCCTTAATTGTGAGCAGATAACCCAAGTATCAGGGTTTTAGAGAAAGTGTTTTAACAGGAAGGAGATCAAAAGGAACTCAGCAGAAACAAATTTAGCAACCAACAAAACTATGATTAATATTCTTGGAGTGCTAAAAGGAGATACTACTTCCAAAGACTTCTCCAAAAGGGTCAAAAGAGAACCTACAGATTGGGAAAAAATATTTGGTAATAACATATCTGACAAGGGACTTATCTCTAGAATTTATAGAACACTTCA